CACACACACACGCACACACAAACACATACAAACACACAGACACACACACACACATACGCGCGCACGCACACACACGCACACACAAACACACAGACACACACGCAGACACATACGCCCACACACACACACACAAACACACACACACAAACACACACAAACAACGTCCCCCTGAATTACCGGGTCTGCGGCCACATTTCTTAGCACTCTCGCTCGACGAGGTCAGGCGAGGTTATACACATTACAAAAAGGCCGCAAACCCTGCACCTTGTCGACAGTCCTGGATCCGACGTCAAGAACAACAAGCAATCCCGGATAATCCCGGCTTCCGGCAACAGGCCGAAATGCCTTGGGAGTCCTGCACCACTTGTCCGGAAGGTGGGCATGGCGGTGCTGCACCTCGACAACGAAAGCGCTGTGAAAAGGGCTATTGAAGTCTCCCCGCTCGCACTCTTCGTGCAACTGTCTGTGAACATGTTAAAATACCAAGACGGCTCTCGTTAAACACCTACGTCAATGTTATGATGTGATCAGGCTCGTGGAAGAAGCGGCGTCAGCATCTGAGATTCAGCGCGGTGCGGAACAGAACGTCTGATGGCAACACGACTCTAAACATTCACTGAAACCATATCCATCAGCACAGATCTTCGTCCATAAAGTTTGGCACAAGCTCGCATTCGGGAGCCTACGGCTGCAGCCTGAAATTGTGTCTCCAAGGACGGCATAGGTCTAATTCAGAATTTCCGCATCCAGCTTGCCAACCTACAACTAACACCCACATCCAATGTCCAACACAGACCACGTAATCCAAGACACCAAAGAGCGCGTGAAGAGCCACTCGACCTGGAGTGGGGTTGGGCAGATGCCTTGCTTACCATGACCTGTGCTACATGACCTCAGCCAATCCACCATGCCTTCCCAACACCCCCTGCAGCCGCCAGAAGCGAGAGACGGCTTAAGTCTGGGCTCGCACAATGCCTGCAGGCCTTGTTCCAATCCTACAAAACACCAGTTCTGGCTCTGAGAGCATCTGAGGACCTTGGAACCTTGGGCCTTCACCATGGACAAAACAATTGAGTACTGTCGGGCTCGGAGGCCTCTGAAATGCTGTCCGGCTCACGAGTTCCAAAGACAACGCCCCAGCCACACCGGAAACTTTAAGGATAACGTCAGCATCGAAGCTCTAGACTTTCTGAGAACCGAGCGAAGAGGAACTCGTCCCTGTCTGCAGTGGTCAAAGCCTCGTTGCAGACAGACGAAGCTTCAAGCTGTCGGTAGCTTGTCGCGTTCCCCACCATGGATGTACCTTTCGCCACGTAATCGGGCAGCAGGTGATCAATAAATTTTGTTGGATATGTAGGGCAGCGGATGAACCCTTTGCCCAAACTAGCAGCATGCACACACAGCTTGAGCAAGGGATCCAGAGTGCTCTTTCGGTCCCAAAGATTTCTTTGGGGCACTGAATGTCAAGTAAGAAGACAAACCTCCAGACTCCAGACCTTCTGCCAAACCCAAATCGACAGCTGCACCTTTGCAAAACAATTGATTGTCAGCCTAGGGGCGGTCTCAACCGGGAGCGTGAGCTCGTGAGGAAGCATACAGGCTGCCTCCACAGGTTCAAAAGAAGTGCAAGATGGAACAGCAGGTCGCCATAGCTTATCAGGGTTCTCCTATCAGCCGCACAGTGTCTGCAGCTCTAGTGTAACACTGTAACCACTATATAACCAAGCTATCATAGGACAAGGCAGCCCGCATGCTACCACGCTGTTTCAGAGAGTATCCCTGAGACATGGGCCTGAACACAACCATGTGCTGAGATGCACAACTTTGACATCTGCTCTTGCACTTGCGTGGATTTTTGAGTCTCCCCTGCCTTCCAGCCGCACCTCACTTTCGCGCCCAAGGTCTCCCGGACGCGGTTGCTGGCCTCACAAGTCGGGGTGATTTTCTCCCACAGCCCTAATCGCCCAAGGGGCGCCTCAGCTTGGCAGTCTTCAAGATCCGCGCGCATTTCGGTCAGCTTCCCTGTCAGGCAGTCCTCGCAGACACTAAACTTTTTGAGAGATCTCGGCGGGATCCAGCAGTTCTTTTCCCAATCTGCTCCTATTTGCATTCATCCTGCTTGCCCATCCTTAAGTGCCACGTCTACCGACTTCTTAAACTGCTCACTTCCAGCCCATCAAGCCACAGGCAAAAATGCCTGCAGCCTAAGTCGCACACCATCGCGAATCTTATGTCGACTCAAAAAGCTCATGTCTCAACGAACTCCAGTGCAAAGAGTCCAGGGCCCACCGATTTTTCTGCAGGTTCTCACGCAGCTGCACCTGCAGGCAGAATCCGATTGCAGTATCTCGCGACTTGCGACGACAATGTCGGTTCATCGTGAATGAGGTGGCTGGCAGGGCAGCTCAACACAAGATGCTGGTCTGCTGTTTATTGTCAACAAGACGAAAGCCAGCTGAAAGCAAGCACAACAGGCACCTCGGGCTCTGCTCGATTTTTCTCGATTTCGTCCTCCAGCCACCTCAGGAAAAGCCAAATTTAAGGGCCAGCACATGTCCTTGCATGGTTGCTCTAGTTTGTTGGCTTCGGTGCTTCGGTTCGCATCCTGGGGGTCTTCTTCTGCACAGTGCTGTCCATTTCGGTTGTTGCACGCGGCACAGATTGCTATCAGTGCCTGCAATGTGCCTATGTGCATGTACAGGCCTCAGCTCTTATCTTAACGGCTAATGTGCCTGGCAAGGCTTCTTCTGCGCTGCCACCCTTGGGTGCAAGACACGTGGGCCCTGGACCTTTTTGATGGAACCCATGATCATGCTTCTCGGAATAAGTGCCAAGATCGACAGAAGCCTTCAGCCAGATTAGCTGGCCTCGGTAGCTTCTAGCGCGAGGCTGTTGATCGAATTTCTGGCCAAACACCCTGCAAACCCTCCTGGCTTCACGTCCAGGGAGCTTCCTCTCGTTCGCGTAGTCCTCGATCTGGTTCTGCATGTGGGTGACGAGCGTCTCCTGCATGTTCGGAGTTTAGCACTGGAAAGTCCAACTTCTTGAGCACAGCTGAGTGACTGAGGTGGTAACATTGGACCTCGTTCCTTCAACTTCTATCAAACTTGGCTTCCTGCATACCTCGTCGTGGCCACCAGTCCTGGTACGAGTAGAGCATTCTCCACTTCTCGATGTCAGTCTCCAGAAGCTTCAGCTGTGCCTGATGAGTCACCTGAAGACAGCCATGGTGTCGATGTCGATGCTCGCCACTAGCCCTAAATGTGCGCAGCTTTTCGTGACATGGTTCTGTCCCTGCCCATCAGCCATGTCGTGTGTGAATTGTGGAGTTCGACTCAGGAAATGCACCCCAGGCAAAAGCTGTGATACAGTGCACACACACACACACACCGGGGACACCGAAATAAACACAAAGGAATGCGCTTCAAAGAGAATTTCTCTGACGAGCGCACTCATGTCAAACCCTGCTTGAATTCTATTTCGACCTGGTATCAAGCATGAGATAACTTGTATAAACGTTGGTAGTTGACACACGAGTACAACCACAAATAGTTGTCTAATGGTACGCATCCATCAATCCATCCGTCCATCCATTCCCATACATCCACATAACTAGTGTGCACCAACTGTAAGACTTTGAAAGCGGACTCCCGATATAATTGCACATGCATATACACCCTGACACAGGCACACAGTCTCACAGCCACGAGACGCACACACAAAACTGACTCTTCGTCTCTCTTGATCCCGAGCATGGTACCAGGAGTTGGCTCTGCAGCTGATGCAGCTCCTTCAGCGACGTGTTCTCGCTTCGAAGGCTGTCCTTGCAGACGGTTGCGTTTAGATGGAGTTCCAGCTCCAGCATGCGCACCAGGGAAGGGGAGCTTAGCAACGCAGCCTTCCCTGCTTTTGCCGAACTTTCCGGCGCATGAGCTCCAGCATCACTGGTGGCATTCGTGGGGTGTGGCCAGCTAAAAAATTTGCAATTCAGCTCGGGCAGCCCAAACAAGCACCTGCAAAGGTCCAGGCCAAAACCATTTAGGACGTGAAGCCGCAAGAATCTGAATGACAGGAAGCGAAGGGTAACCCCGCTGCGGAGAAGTGACGGCTCTGGGATGCCGCTCCTATGACAGCGACCCTAGCGGCCTGGCCTAGCGGCCTTGCGACGGCCACGAGCGTTGCCGAGTTCGCCGAGTGAGATGACTCACGACGAGAGTGGCTTGGGGGCTCGGGTGGTAGTAGTAGTTGTGGTCGGGGATGCTGTGTTTTACAGCACTTTTTTAAAAATTTTTTCCGTAGTTATCGAAAGTGGCAACTGTTCCTGGTTTCGTGTGTATTTTTTGTAGGTTTTCGAACATGGTTCATCAATCTCG